ATCTAGAGGGGACCCCTGCAAGCATAGTTTCCTCTCTCTGTGAAGGGGAGATTTCATGTTGCCCCTTGCCCCTTAGGGTATAGGGTTGGGGCCGCCAGTGGGGTTCTGGCTAACACAAAGACCGAGACCTGCCAGTCGCTGTGCCTCCCTTTCTCATCGTCCCCCACCCTTCATCAGTAGCAGCAGAGGCTATGGCCAACACTCTCCCACACACCACACACAACCCACTCGCGCTCACACTCACACCCGTGTTGGTCATAGACCCCGCTAATACCGATCAGGGGTATCCAGAGGACTATCACAGTCCGGTGGCACTAAGTGCGCCGCAGGCGGCCATGGGGCTTGAACCCACAACCTCCTGAATGCCACTTGCATGCCTAACCAGCTGAGCTAGGCCGCTGGATTACGAAGGGAGGCTGTCGAATTTATTCTGACAAAAAAATAAAAATAAAAATTCTGACAGCCATCAATTTTTTTTTTTTGCCTTTCGACAGTGGTGTGACGAGGCCCATAGTCTGAAACATTCTGAAAGCAGGCATGATAAATGTATGTGACGGCAATGACGACGAGGTGGGAATGCATCTAGCTGCAATCACTTCCAGAGCTAGGTCGCATGGCCCCTGACAGGCCCGAAGTCCTTACGTAGTAGGCGCTGAATGTACAGAACTTCATCCGCGAAAATTCGCTTTCGGGAAACCAAGGAATTCCGTATCGATCGTGATGATCGAGCCGGTCTCGGTCTCTGCATTTGTTCGGAGTTAGCGTAGTTAGCGTGGTTAGCCTGGTTAGCGTGGTTAGCAATTCGACAACGGCGGAGGTGTTCCCAAAGAAAAGAAAAAGTCTTGCTGCTGCCTGATGGCGTACAGTCACAAACAATTGTCGGGTGCGGTCACAATCTGTGCCTTCAGCTGACCGTTGTTGTCGAAGTCCTCACATAAATTGAGTTTTGTCTGTCGGAGGAGTCCAGGTAAAAAGAGTAGCGTGACAAACTCTTCCTCGTGCGTGTGTGTTGTGTGTGTGTGTGTGTGTGCGTGTGTGCGTGTGTGCGTGTGTCTGTGCGCGCACGTTTTCTCTCAACAAAACTCCACGAAAGGACGGTAACTCTGTGTGTGTGTGTGTGTCTGTGAGAGAGAGAGAGAGAGAGAGAGGAGGGAGGAGGAGGAGCTGTGGTTGAGAGAGAGAGAGAGGAGGAGGGAGGAGGAGGAGGAGCTGTGGTTGAAAGAGAGAGAGAGAGAGAGAGAGAGAGAGAGAGAGAGAGAGAGAGAGAGAGAGAGAGAGAGAGAGAGAGAGAGAGAGAAGAGGGAGGAGGAGGAGGAGCTGTGGTTGCTCTGGTTCTGTCGTGTGGGGCCAAGGAGGTGTGGGTACCAGTTGTTCTGGGCGACAACAAAAGTGCTCATTGAAACCGCGCTACAGTGAAGAACTCAGGGAAGCGTAACGGTTGTGCGGCACGGCACGGTACGGTAGCTGTGAGACGTGCATGGGACGAGGTTGTGCTGCCGGGAGGAGCGTTGGTGTCTCCCATGTTCATCTTTGAGAGCTAGACGATCTCCTTTGACAATCCAGAAATCCTACCAGTGAGGTGGAGGAAGTATCTGCGATTAGACTTGCCTATTCATTTCATGTGGCTGTCGGGAAAAAAAAAAAAAAAAAAAAACCCGTAAACTAAGAAAGGAGCGGTGGTGGTCTTTGGAGTCAATCGTCCGAATCGAGCGGCGAGCTTCCGGAACACGTGAGGGGCGATCAGGAGATGGGGACGCTCTAGGACGTATTTGCTTTACTTCTGGACATAATTTTGGTCAGATGCATCCAAGTAGGGTCGTAATTAAGGCCATATACGCTTAGGAAAGTGCTAGTGTGAGTACGCCGTGACAGTCGAGGGAAAGAAGAGGGGAAAAGGATCAAGGCGGAGTGTGTGTGGGAGTTAATAGTCATAATAAGTGGATTTCGGGGAGTGGTGAGAGAGGTGGAGGGTGGGGTGGTTGTCGTGTAGTAATAGCAGTAGTAGTAATAGTACCACACGTAGTAGTAGTAGTAGTACTAGTAGTAGGAGGAGGAGGAGGAGGAGGATTGATCTCCAGTGCATTGGAGAGGAGGAGGAGGAGGAGGAGGGAGCTCCACTGCGTAGGAGAGGAGGAGGAGGAGGATTGATCTCCACTGCGTAGGAGGAGGAGGGGTTTTCCACTGCGTAGGAGAGGAGGACGAGGAGGACGAGGAGGACGAGGAGGAGGAGGATTGATCTCCACTGCGTAGGAGGAGGAGGGGTTTTCCTACTGCGTAGGAGAGGAGGACGAGGAGAACGAGGAGGAGGAGGAGGAGGAGGAGGGGTATCCATTGCCTAGGAGAGGAGGAGGAGGAGGAGGAGGAGGAGGAGGAGGAGGAGGGAGCTCCACTGCATAGGAGAGGAGGGCATGAGGAGGAGGGGTTTTCCACTGCGTAGGAGAGGAGGAGGAGGAGGAGGGGTATCCACTGCGTAGGAGAGGAGGAGGAGGAGGAGGGGTATCCATTGCCTAGGAGAGGAGGAGGAGGAGGAGGAGGAGGAGGAGGAGGAGGAGGAGGGATCTCCGCTGCATAAGAAGCAGGGCAGGAGGAGGAGGGATCTCGACTGCTTAGTCGCGGTTGATTGACGAGGTCTTGTGAGCGGTGGTCGTGTGCCTGACCCAGCTTAGCAGTTGGGGAGGTGAGACGGTGTGTGTGGTGTGTGTAGTTGGAGGTGGTCGATGAGGTGGATGACCAACCCTCTCGTCATTGATAGCTGGCACTTGAAGAAAAGGATCCGTCTTCAATCACAGATTCTGTCTGCTCCTTGGTAGCAGCAGCCGCTGTTGGATAGGATTTGCCGGCGGCGGCGTATCGACTCCACTTTGTTAAAAAATACTGTAGTTATACACCCGCCCGACGAAACCACCATGGCAGTGTTGCTGTGGAATTGTTCTTCCCTTTCTGTGTGATGGGACTAGTCATAATACGTAGTTGCATACATCCTTATTCATAAATATGTGTATCTGTATCAGATCCATGTGTATAGATGTCGGCACATGAATGTGTGTACATATACAATATATAGTTATGTGAACATCTATCTCTGATATGTAGTGAGGCAGGTACTGTTTCTTCTGGCTAGAAATTTGCCAGGCTGGTTATTGATCGTCCGATCTGTTGCAAGGTCTCTGTTAACTACTCGGTTGATCGAGAGGTTAATCGAACTCCCCAAAAAAAAGAAGAAAAAAGGTCTCTGTTAACTACTCGGTTGATCGAGGTTAATCGATCTCCCCAAAAAAAAGAAGGAAAAAGGGTTAGTAGAACTCCTACTATTACTATCGGCAGCACCATCTCCCTCGCTTTCTCTCTCTTTCTCTCTCTCTCTCTCTCTCTCTCTCTCTCTCTCTTTTTCTGTCTTTTTCTCTGCTAACCACTCGATTGATCGAGGTTAGTCCGACTCTTTCTGTGTCTGTTTTTCTCTCTCTCTCTCTCTCTCTCTCTCTCTTTTTCTCTTTCTTTCTCGCTCTTTGTTTCGTTTTCTCTTCCTCTCTCTCTCTCTCTGCTTGATTGATCGAACTTTGTCTTTTATTTCTTTTTTTCTTTCTTTCTTTCTTTCTCTCTTTCTCTCTTCCTCTTTCTCTCTTTCTCTTCCTCTTTCTCTCTTTCTCTCTCTCTCTCTCTTTGTTCCGTTTTCTTTTTTTTTCTCTTTCGCTTCCTCTCTCTTTCTCTCTGTGTTCCGTTTTAGATTTGTTGTATGCGTCTTGCTCTGTCAACTGATTTCTTTGTGTGTGTTTCGGGTTTAATTTGCTTCTTGATCACTCGATTTTTTTCCCCTTTGCTCAACTATCCTTTCTATGTTTTCGGGTTTAGTTTGCCTTCTGGTTTGATTTCTTTCCTTCGAGTATATGATGATAAGAGCAGCAGGATTTGCTGTGATTAGGATGCCTGCCATGAGGACCTCCTTGATTGCTTGTTCGTTGGATGGCCACGTGTTAGTTCATCGCCGGCCCTCATCTGCGTCTATGATTGGATCATCATCTGCTTGTCCACCCGCCGCCCGTTGCTGTTTGAGCTTAGTGCCTCCGACCCGTCGTAATCGCTTTGTTGGACAGGATAGCTGTTCCCCTCCTCTCTCCTTCGGCCATGATGGCGATCGCCGCTGCCTTGTCATCCATGACCAGACGGGCAATACCCCTCCCCTCCCCCCCCGATGTCCCCTTGCTCTTCTCCCTCTTTCTTCTTCGTCGCATTGCGGGAAAAGGTTTTCGTTGACATCAACATCAACGGCAGTAACGACGGAGAAACACCGGTCGAGGGCGCAGGGGACCGGAGGCTTACGTGGCACGGGACATCAGTGTCACCTAGCAATGGTCGGCGGGGGGGTGGGGTGGAGACTCGTGAGCAGCGGCGGCGCCATCGCCGGCAGCAGTAGAAGTAATCGAGGTTTGGAGTCTGGTGTCTTCGTCTTCTCTGGCGCCAATACCTCGACGGCGATGTCGATGACATCCATGGCGATGGGGATGATGACGGCAACGAATACGAATGAGTATCCCGATCTTGGGGGGTGGGGAAGAGGCAGCTGTCTGCTTCGTAAACGACAAATGAGACGAGCAGCAAAAAAGGCGGGGAGCAACAAGATGATGTATCAGTCGGCGGTGTTTGCCAATGCAAGTGGAGGGAAGGAGGGTGGGGAGGAGGTCGGGATGGGAGGTGGTGTTGCGGGCGTGTCAGGCCAGGGGAATGGAAATCGAGATAAGGCAGGCCACCAGGGAAACGCTGACGTGGCGGCAGGTCAGACGGTCAATCAGCAGCAGCAGCAGCAGCAGCTGCAACCGACGATGATGACGTCACCGCCAGCGGAGCACGATGTTGCTTACATGGATGGTACCACGGGAATGCCGACGATCGAGAAGATCCAGTTTTTGTCTGGAATCGCGAAGCCAGATGGTGAGGAGGGGCCACTGCCAGGCGGAATGGAAGATCAGGCGCCATCTAATGGACTGACGACAGTTTCGCTCCCTTCGCTCCCTGGAATGGAGGGACTGCTGGATGTGTCCACGGGGACGGGATCGGACGGCACGGCGGTTATCAAGGTGGTTGGCGTTGGAGGAGCGGGATGTAACGTTGTTAATGACATGGTCAAGAAAGGGGACATCAACGACGAAAATCTCTATGGTAAGACTACGAATATGTGACGTGAGTCGTTAGTGTGTGTGTGTGTGTGTGTGTGTGTGTGTGTGTGTGTGTG